TTAACCATGAGCAAATGACGTAAACAAATTTACATATTTAACCATAAACAACTTCAAGTGTAATGAAACCATAAGCACATATTTAAGTGTTTAGATTCTTGGACCACATACAAATGGCGTAAGCAAATTCAACTCTAAATCTCTCCATGTCTTGTTGCCAGTTAAGATACGGGGTCCTATCAATATCTTGTGCTTGTGACAACACCAAAATTTCCATGAATTTGCATACAAACATACCGCAATCAACACTATTGCTTTGCATTGGTGCACCCCTAACAAGTGTAAGTCCCCATGTCGCAGGTTTGGCTCTACCAAAACACTTTGCAACATCCTTTGCAAACAACTTCACATGCAAAGTTTATGGGATTATTATTTATGTGATATTGGATGTTATTAGTGTGTAATATCTGGGTGGGCAGCATCCTTATGCACGGTGTTGAGAAGAGAGTCATACAATTTCCATAATTTCCATTTTTTCAATTTCTTTCAATTTCAGCTCCCAACCAACAAAGTCCAATGACCGTTATGAATTATAGGAAATAATATAATTTGTGCTTCTTTTATACTGTCCTTCATGATATTTTTCAAGAAAGCAATGCTATCGTTATCAAAATGTTTATGCATATGCAGAAGTTGTTACATTACATGGTGTTTACAATGAAAGTATGAGCCATAAAAAATATGATAAATTAAACAATTGCAAATTACCCAATATTGCGACGTTACAAAGTGGTAAGACCTGTATAATTTGGGTGACCTGACAACCCTTTTACGCAAAATGTTTGCAAAAACATCAACATGTTCGTTTCCAAGCCACCCGTTTAGCAATACATCATTGAAGCCGACTCGATCAATTGACCGTCCAGAACCTTTATTTGCAAGAAAATCATGTATGTATATAAAAGAGAGAGAGAGAGATTGTCACATTTGAAAATCAAATTATTGCGTAAAATCAAAACTGTTGTCAAAAGTTACTTACACTCCAATGTGTATAGCAATTCAGTCATCGATAACATCTTGCATCTCACGTGGTACTAAAGATCTACCAGGAAATTCTATGTAAGATGTCGCATTATGAGGCTGCAGAATAAAAAACCAAATTATAAACACTAACTAAAAATTTGAAATACAAAGGGATTATTTTTTTTACCACTATCGCATGACTCTCAACAATGGAATTGGTGCTCTGACTAGTGATCACTATTGGATTGCTTTGCATTCTTTGGTTAATTATAGGGGCTCCTAAACCACAGGGTGTCAACATAATTTGTTCAATATTTTCTTCACTCTGAGTCGGGGTTGTGTCTGCCTCAAATGATACAACATCTGACACTATTACTGCTGAGGTTCTTGAAAAAAGGTTGTTCTGGATTTATTTTTGATTGATGGCCCTTGTGGGGTTCAGTAAAAACATCACGTTAAAACAAAAATACATAAGTTTTTAAACACTATAAAATAAGTTGTTTACCTTAAAAGACACAATATCAAGAACATGATATGCTGTCCGTTCAACTTCATGGGGTACCTCCGATTGTATCGAATCCCCTGTTATAACATTGTCTTGAGCAACATTTATTTGATCTTGGGGTTCAGTATCTACAATGGACGACATAATATGAACCTACCAAAAAAACAAAAAACTGTTAAAACGTGCAATTAGGATAGAATCAAATACTGAAGGGAAAAAAATGATAAACTAACCGTATGGGACAGAGAACCAAGAAGATCCCGAGCAATAAGAACTTCAGCTGGATCTTCGTTGTGAACTGGTAAATTCACATTAATTCTACTCCTTTTTTTTCCTCATATATGGACCTACTCTTTCAGCGACTTATATGTTCTTTATCAGCTTTGGACTCTTCTAACCCCTTAACAATAGTTGTGAGGGTGGACAATGAATCTTCAACATTAGCCATTTGTTTATTAATGACAATCATATATTCCTGCAAACTTAAACTTATCTGTTGTTAAGATTTAAGTAGTTCAAATATTGCTTCAAGGTCATTACCTCCCATTGCATGTGTTGCATCTGGGGTTACCTTGCTTGAAACAATTGTACCAACACCATGGAATTTTGGTGATGGCGGTCCAACTGGAGTTTCACGACGACCAATACGGGGAATAGTCATAACAGGGCCTGGTGGTCCATGATCAGAATTGAACAACAAGTTGAGCTCATCTTCCGTCAAGTCGATGAAGGTGTCGTTAACATACAATATAAATCACAATGTTTTACATATATTTAGTAAATCAACATGGAAACTTACCCATATAAAATCTCATAATAAGTAAATTTACTTACTTGCACATGATCGAGCACCCTAAAGGCTTCGTGAGTCTGTGTTGTTGTACACCCATGAATTTTTTGCCACCTCAGCATTCGTGGTCTAGCCTCAGGTGCAGCGGGAGTAAAGAGAGTTGTGTGCTCGAAGAACCGAAGCTGCAGATAACACGTATCAAAAATCATTTTGTCATAATGCAAAAAAAAAAAAAACAAAAATAGCGAAAAGGAAAATTTTTAACTGTAGAAAATATGAACTTACAGATAAAAGCAATACAAAACCACTTATGTAACCAAATAACTCATTTCGTCTTATTTTGATTGCAACAAAGTTCATTTGATCAATTATATAATTATAGATAACAACAGACCGATTAAACGAAGAGAAGGTCTGTACGTTCTCTCCAAATGCATAAAGACCTGCAGGCACGCCGAAATTGCTCGAGGGAAAAAATAAATTTGTCAGTAAAAACTTAAGAAATAGTTTCTAAAAAAGAGTGGAAGACTCTCTTGAAAACTTAGTCACATCTTCTATTGTTCTCGAATCTACATGAGATGACATACTTTTCCTCCAACTAACAGATTCTCCCTTGTTGGGCATGCCTAACAAAAGCGCCACATGGTCGGCGTAGAATTTTACCAACTTCCCTCCCATCACAAAAGCTCTTCTTTCTTTATTCCAAAATCCCATGATGTGTAGAGTTAACACATTATCTCGGGGATAATGAGGCATGTCAAAAAACTGACTGACATTTATTTCTCTTAAAAAGTCATTGTTTCCTCAGGTACAATGTAACTAACAGTATCGAGTGCACTCCTCACTGCGGAAGAACAACATCTTCAATTGAAAGTTATTGCGTTCATATACCTACAAAAGAAAACATAAGGAAATATTATTTTATTAATAACAATCTCCATCCACAATTTTAAAAATAACTCAAATGTTATTATTAGAAGTTTTAGCTAGGTTACATATGTGTTATTGTAGTGTTAAATATGTTATTGAAGTGTTACATATGTGTTATTTATGTGTTATATGACGGCAATAGTTCAATTTTTGTTTTGTTACAAATGAGTTATTATGTGTTACTGTTGTGTTACGGTGGTGTTATCACTGTATTATTATTGTGTTATAATGTGTTACTATTGTGTTATAATTGTGTTACTGTTTTGTTATTGTTGTTTATTATTATGGTATTCTCGTGTTAGTGTTGTGTTATCGTGTGTTATGAATGTGTTATCATTGTGTTATGATTGTGTTATGCTTGTGTTATGCTTGTGTTACACCAATAGCACTACAATAACACACTCAAACATGCTATAACACAAATATAACACATCTATAACACAATTCTAATAGCATAACACAACAATAATACAAAATAACACATCTATAACACCATTATATCAACACAACACAACAATAGCACACAACGACACATTTATAACATACAATAACACATCTATAACACACAATAACACAACTATAACACAATTATAACACAATTATAACACACAATAACACATTATATAATGAAACAAAATAACTTGCAATCTATAATAAACAATGTAGCTTAATATGTCGAAGTTTTATAACACACAATAATACAACTACAACACCAATATAATACTACAATAACACGACTAAAATTTCAAATTTTATTTTAAAATTAACAATGTAGTTACCTCAACGACTTCGGGAGACCACTAGGTTATTCTTCGGCTCTCTTGCGACATTTCATTTTGTGTGCTACAATGAGAAAGAAAATAAATCACTAGTTGTTGCAATGAAACGACTAAGCACTAATATTTAGAATGAGTATTGTGTAACCTACCTCCTGTTTCCAAGAGTCGAAACCGAATGAAGTATCACCACCAGCTGTTCAAATGGAAAACCACTGCCGCCGAAGACAAACCGCAGTCCGAAGTGCCAAAAAAAGCCGAAAAAGTCGAAGGATGAAGAGGCTCAAAGCCGAAGGAGGAAGAAGCCAAATGCCGAAGGAGGAAGAAACCAAATGCCAAAAGAGGAAGAAGGAAAGCCGGAAAAGCCGAAGGATGAAGAGGCCCGAAGCCGAAGGAGGAAGAAGCCGAATGTCGAAAATGCTAATCGACCAAAGGCTAAAAAAAACGTCAAATCTAATATAAAGTAAGTTTTTATCTGTTCCAAAATTTAATTTGATCTGGGTTCACGGTAAATGCACTTATTAAATTTATCGTGTTGATTCAAATCGAGTTTTTTTTTTTAATTTTTATATACTATGAGATCCATCTACACTTATACTCCGCCCATTAAACTCCACAAGCAAACTCACCCACCAGTCAGCAATAAAAATTCCCCCGAAACTATATACGTCGTAACCAAACCCTCAAGATACAGTTGCCAGATAACTGCGAAGGTAACGACGGGATGGCGGGGTAGAAAGACCAGAAGTTCCTATCTCTCTCCTCTTTCCGCTCTGTTCATACCGAAAGTAACTTCACATCTTCCTTTTCGCTCGAATGCCCGTCCCGCATTTACTAAATCCGTGAAATCCGGATTCATAAAATCTTCGGCTTTAGTTTGTGCTGAATGACCGTCTAACAAGATTTAGGTTTAATCGTGCTCTAAATCCATTACCAGACAGACAGGCCCTTAAACACTGCACCATTTTCAGAAGCTGTACAGCATAGCTATTGGTGCTTCGTCAAAGGCGATAGATGGACTGTTTTTTCCCTTCATACTGTCCATTACCGTCTCAGGCCATGACAGTCCCAATTACATGAGTTTCTTGATGATAATGGTCGACCTACCTGCTGAAATCTGAATCCGAATCGGTAAAAAGCAGCGGATCGCATCACTGTCCGTCACTTCCGCCCTGATTACTGCCTTCTGCTGCGTCCGTATGTCAACGTGTAAGTCATTCTTCTAGTTCCCTTCATTTTTGTAAAGTTCCAAGGCTTCCTCCGTGCACATGATTCATGCATGGACAAAGGTGCTAGCTTCCTCGTCTTTTTCTTTCCAACTGAGTTGGTTTGATTATCTCCCACAATCTGAGAAGACTCAAAGTTGATCATCAGACTCTTTTCCTCCTATGGTAGTCATATATGTTTTCTTAGGTTATATTTCAATACCGAGAGTTTTAATGAAATGGGATGAAAATAGAGTTCATCATCAATAACATCATTATCCCAACTATTCTGGCCCCATTACATGTTGATTTTGAAAAGTAGACATTGATCTTAGGAAAACGGAAGGAAAGTTAAAACTCTCACATCAATGACTGTTTATTCATATTACAATAACAACAACAACAAAGCCTTAATCCTACTACGTGAGGTCGGCTACATAAATCTTTTTTCTCCATTACGTCCTATTTAGTGTCATATTTTCATTTAGTTCTAATAAATTAAGATCATTTTTTTATACAATAAGTCATAGTCTTCCTAGGTATACCTCTGCCTTTCTTAAGATAAGTCGTTTCTAAAACATCTACTCTCTCAATCGGATCATCATATGATCGACTTTTAATGTGACCAAACAATCTAAGACGACTCTCTCTAATTTTGTCTTGTCACTGGAGCTACACCGACCCTATCACATATATATTTGTTTCACAATTTGTCTCCAAGTGTAAAGCCACTCATCCATCTATCATTCTCATCTCGGCAGTACTTAACTTAGTATTATGCTTCTCTTTTAAAGACCAACATTCAGTGCCATAGAGCATTGCAAGTCTCACCACCCTCTTATAAAATTTTCCTTTCAGCCTAAGCGGTACTTTTCTATCACACGAAAGCTAGAAGCATTCCTCCAGTTCAACCAACCAGCTGAAATTATACTATTAACACCCCCATCTATATCACCATCGCTTTGAACAACTGACCCGAGATATCTAAATTGTTCACACCTTTTAATAATTTGATCACCCAAAGTTACACTTCTGTCAGTAGAGCTACTACTACAAAAATTACATTCCATGCATTCAGTTTTAGTTCTACTCAAATGAAGGCCTTTAGACTCCAATGTAGACCTCCATAATTCAAGTTTTTCCTGGGTTTTTTTTCTCGTCTTATCCACAAGAAGGATATCATCAGCAAAAAAACATACATCAAGGTACATCCTTCCGTAAATGTCCAGTATGACCATTCATAACTAAAGCAAAAAGATATGGATTCAAAGCCGTTCCTTATTGTAATCCAACAGAAATAGGAAAATATTTGGTCAATCCTCATTCAGTTCGAGCACAAGTAACAACTGTAACAACTCTAGTATACATCTAGTATACATATCTTTAATGACTTGAATGTAAGTTATATCAATACCTTTCTTCTCAAGAACGCTCCATAGGATATCCCTTGGAATCTTATCGTAAGCTTTTTCTAAATCAATAAAAATCAAATGTAAATCCTCCTTATTATCTCTGAACTTCTCCATCAAACCTTTCAATATATGTATAGCTTCCACGGTTGTCTTGCCCGACATAAAACCAAACTGTTTATTCATTGTCAACTCATAAATTACTTGCATTGCCTTTTGTTTATTTCATTGTTCCTTTAATCCAAACAGCAGATTTTGGTTTACTGAAAGTGATATTTATGCTTTTTGGCTTTCTGTTATCAGTTGCACTCTTTGGTTATTGAGCAGTTCCATTCTTGGTTATAGTCAACTCACTTGGTTAGAATGTGAACTCTTGCATTTTTATGCACCACATGTTTATAATTATTCTTTACTGGCATTCAATAACTAGTTTCGTTGTTAGCGGGTTATTCTTTTATTCTTTACAAGCAATATGCAAATATAGCATGAGATTGTTTACATTTTTACATGGCTTCACAGCATGTTATTTTTTCTTTTATTAAATTTGCTTCTATATGTTTGCATGCTTGCTTATATAAACATGCTTGCACATGCTCCTTTTTGTTGCAATTCATGCATTTTATATCTGCATATAGCTCTCAATTTCCTTGGTATTTTTTTTTTTGCAGGTGCTTTTTCCTAGAAATTATTAGTCATATTTTCTTTTCTTCTTGCATTTGGAGGAGGATATGGAAGGAACCAGCTCACTAAAGAACTGCTTTATGGGCAGGAGATTGGAGAGTAGCTGATTAATGATATCTTCTTAGAAGTCTGCCAGGTTTCTAGTTGGAATCAGTTAATCGAATTATGTGGACGAATATATTTAGAATTGTATGTGCTAAACCTTTTGATCACTTTGTTAGTTATATGACTGAATTTTTTCTGGGTGCATTTACATAAATACCACACAATTATTATTTGTTTGCATATCTAATACCTAATATTTTACATATACATGCCTAACACTCAAATCCTAACATCACATAAAAATATCACTATTGCTTACTTTTTAAAAGTAAAATGCTTCTTTTCATGCATAGATTTATGACATTAAAGTGCTATGAATGTTATTGTGAAAGTTTAGTTGTTAGACATGTAAATATATCAGAATTGTGCGGTATGTTTGTAATTTCTCCCTTTTTGTTGACTAACATTATCTTAGTTATTTATTTAATTTTAGAACAATAAACTTTCAAATTTTGCCGTCTCTATTGAAGTGCTAGTTTAACTATATGAAAAGGGTAATGGTTTGTCATTTTGATTGAATTATTAAGTTTACGCTCAAGATAAATCATAGGCTGCAAAATATATCAGTTTATGAACATCTCGCTTGACTTTTTTAAAATCTGCTTACAGCATTGAACGCTTTATAGATTTGTTCAACTCATTTTTGAGAAGTGTTATTTGTGTATGCAAGACCTTGTAATCATTTTGTGGAAATACATGCTATCCTTTGTTATTTATGTAAACCCTTTTGCTCGCTGAAGTTCATTTTTTTTCTTTACCTTTGTGCTCAAACAGCTCATACAAATGATGCTAATATTATGCGAACTTTTATTCTTGGTTACTTTCTCACTGACTTCTAATTTCTTATATTCTTTCCCTGGATGAATAGTTTCCGCGGAAGTCCATGCTCTTGTAAGGTTAAAGCCTGGTTAAATTGTACTCAAGCCTAATGTTTTTACTAAATATTTGTCACTGCATTTTCTAAATTGTTCTCTAGGGCACTGTATGTTACATCTAGAGGTATTAACTATCCCCGCAGTTTCTTTTGTTCTTTAAACATCCTTCATTGTTGTCTTTTTTGGAATTTATAACATTTTAACTATCCCTTTAGTGTTTTCCTATTTTAGTTGGATTACATCAATGATTGGCTTTAAGCCCATATCTTTTCTCTTTAGTTATGGATGCTCTTACTTGACATGTATAGGAGTATGTACCTTGCTGTATGCTTTTCGCTGGTGATATCCTTCTTGTGGATACGAGTAGAGAAAGAGTTCAGGAAAAAAATGAATTATGAAGGTCTACATTGGTGCTAAAGGCCTTCGTTTGAGTAGATCTAAAACTGAATACTTAGAATGTAATTTAAGTAGTAGTGGCTCTAGTGGCAGAGTTGTAACTTTTGGTGATCAAACCACTAAAAGGTATGAACGTTTTAGATATCTCGGGTCTATTGTTCAAAGTGTGGTGATATGAATTAAGATGTTATTAGTAGAATTCAAGTTGGTTGGTTGATGGAGGAATGCATCAGGCCTATTGTGTGATAAAAAAAATATCGGTTAGATTGAAAAGAAAATTTTATAATATGGCGGTGAGACCTGCAATGCTTTGTGGCGTACAATGTTGGCCTTTAAAATAGAAGCATAGAACAAAGTTAACTGTTGCTGAGATGAGAATGTTTAGGTGGATGACTGACTTGACACTTAGAGATAAAATGCGAAATAAATATATCCGTGCTACGGTTATTGTAGCACCTGTGGCAGACAAGATTAAAGAGAGTCGTTTTAGATGGTTTAGTCATATTAAATGTCGACCATCTGATGATCCTGTTAGGTGATCCTGTTAGGAG